TGTACATATAAATGTATTTGTAACTATATACAATATGTAAATTTACTTCAAATAGCAAAAACTATTATATTATTCTCTGCATGAGTGAGCTGCAAACTTATGAGCTTGCACATCTACTATACAYATGCAACACACTACCATATATTGGGGACTTACCGGTCTTTTTTGCCAGTTATACTCATTAAACTTGTTCCAGAGTTTTAAGTTTTTGCTCTCAAATATACATATAGCCGTGACACATATACGCTGGATGCCGGGTACGAGCAAGCACTTATGTACATTAAATATTCTCAAATCAGTTTAGTCGTGTCTGCGGCAGCGGACATACTTTTCTAGTTTATCATAGTCAGCGTGCATTTTGGCCGATCGGTACTCTTGTCGAACACTGTTTGAAGTACGCATAGTGTTAGAATTGATAGTGAATTATATAAAAATGTAATATATATGAGTGTTTGTTTACAGTCAAGTAATAAACGTTAATCAATAAAATAAAAATATTTTTTGGAAGTATTTCTTTAAAAACTTGAAARTATATATAGTTGTGTCTTGTTTACGATATATACAGTTACATATGTTCATGGGTATAATTTTTCAAAGATCTTGTTTTGTAATTATGAAAAATAGTTGTGGTCGCGCCATATACCTAATGGTCATAGAAAGCGGTGACATTGTGAATTTAGAGTGGCAGTGGTTTGTGATATGGCTGAGTATCGATTGTGAAATTCCGAATAAACGACTATATCTATCTATTTGTAGACAAATGCAGATGTTTGTACAAATATAAATTAATTTAATATGTATTATTTGGATTTTAAATAATACGTGCATCAGTTGCTCAAATTCCCAACTTACATGGTGCTTATATCCCGATGACAATTATGTTTTCATAACTATAACACCTGGCTTCTACATAAGACAATTTGCGCCAAAACTAAGTTTCTACTCCGAAATCATTCAAAGTTAATGTTTGCTTTGGTCACACATGATTACACTATCAAAGTTTTCGGCAGAAAAAATACGACTTTAAATCTAATAGCAGTCATAAATAATAAAAAAAATTCCATACAACAACTTAATTTTGATCGGTTAGTTTGTATGATAACTAATGAGGCTTTCAACAAGAGCGCTACAAAAGTTTTTTTTTTTAATAAAACCAAAACGGTTTGGGGTATTAACGAAATTTTTCATTCCTGTGAAAGTAACCATCACGGGCACCCTTGGCAAAAAACCAAACGCTAAACCCAATTTTCGACGGGTTTCAAACATAAATCAGCCGACACTGCTGCAATCGTCGCTGGCTTGTTGGCATAGACYATAGACTTGACCTAGGCCACATGAAATAATCTAACGGCGTCAAATCGCACGATCGAGGCGGCCAATTGTCTTAGCCATTTCGTAAGATAACACGTCCACCCAACTTGGTTTTTCATAAATCGATTGTGAYATTCGCTGTGGAGTTTGTGGCGCCGTCYTGTTGAAATCACGTATTGTCCAAGTCCATATCATTCAATTCGGGCCAAAAATTTTCAGTTATCATTGAGCGGTGTGGCTCTCATTCACAGTAACGTGACTGTCTTGATCATCACGTACGAAGTACGGCGCAATGACGCCGCCGACATATAAACCGCACTAAACCGTAATTTTTTCGGGACACAATGGTGACTCATGGAGGATTTTTCCCTTAAAATCCGGAACATTTTCAAGTTGTTGCTCAGCCTAATTAACGAGCATACGACAGTTCTGGTGGTCAAACGGCTTCATTTCTTGCGTCAATTTGTTCTTGTAAGGATGTAGGCCAAGATCTTTTCGCAAAATTCGCCACAACGACGTCACAGAGATGCACAGCCACACTCAAGGCTTGAGAACGACGTTTATAAGACTGATTTTTGGTATTCCTCAATTGATGCGCTAGCGACAGCAATATTCTCGACATTACGCCACTTTTTTGTCTCACTCGCACGGAATACTTTGTACTGTGCCTGTRGATTCACATGTTTCCACGCTCAATTGTTGATCTGACAGGATGATTATGACGATCATAAAATGAACCGTTCACACAACAGTCCGATCTACGTAACCGGAACGGACCCGGTAGATTTCTGCTGCTACAACAACAACAACAATCATAAATTGGACGTAGCGCTCTTAGAGTTGAGACCACTGACTCCGAATTTCGGCAAAAATTTTTAATAATTTCGACTCGTTGCTGGATCGTTTGTATTTCAATGCTCAAATGACAAACCTTACTGAAGAGAAATGGCAAAAGGGCGGAAAAAATATGGCGTCGTTTGCTGTCCCTATCGGTCTACTTTGGTAGAGTCCCTATTGAAAAACCCGTTATATATACATAGATATACCTATTTTATTAAACTGTTCAGGTTATAAAAATTATCAGCGCTCAAAAAAATAAAAATCGAGTACTCCCACATCATTAAAATACTGTCGTAATTTGAAGCAACTGTAACAGAACTACATACGAAAAAAATATTAAAAAACGCGCTAATTTCTTTCACATTATTAAATATAATGTTAATTCAAGCAAAATCATACGAGTACATACAATTTATCATCAAACTATTACGAGTTGTTGATGTTAGCGGGTTTCATCAATTTAATTGCAGTTGCACAATACAAAAAACTGCTGATGGCGTTAGCTTGGTCGCCAATGAAACTCATGTACTATAAAAAAGACTACATGCATACATATGTATCTATGTATGTCATACTTACATACAAATGTTTTTGTGCATACATGTTATGGATGTACATATATATGTATATATAGATTGACATAAGCCGTAAATTACATTGATTGTAGCTTCGCATTTAACTTATCACCACTATACTCCATGTCACCTATATGCTTGTATGTGTGTATGTGTGCATAAAACATGCGTCAAATAGCAGGAAAAATAATTCATACGCAAATACCATCAAACGCTAGTATAATGTAACAATGAAGTTATCTTATTTTATGATATAAGCACATCATGATATTTAAGCTGCCCACCAATGTATTATTCTTAATATTCTACCTTACTATTTACACACACACACACGCGCAACCACATGCGTATAAATTGTATTTTATTGCATTTCAGCAAACACTGAGATTTGTGTTATGAATGTGCATAGTGTTACGTGAAAAGTGGCCATAGAAGAATTAGTCTCAGACATTGCAGTATGCAGTCCATAAAGGCTGACGAGTTGCCGGAAAATCCACGCGTACGCGCAAATCCGTTATCTGCGCTTTTGCTATGGTAAGTGCTCGTCGTTAAATGTT